TAAAGCTGGAAAAAATAAATAATACTTGTCAAGAAGATAAATGAATAGAAAGAAAGACAGACACATGAATAGTAAGTGGAGGAGACAAGACCCAAAGCCAAGACTTTCTGTCTCTCATTATTTACTCTTAATATGTAGACTCAAGTTTTAAAAAATAAACTCACCACTAAGGAAAAGGACTCATGGGTATTGCATGAGGCAGTGGTTTATTTTGAGGGCAGTAGCCAAATGTACTTTGTTTCCTGTAACTTTGCTATGGATGATGGTCACCAAAATATACCATGTTTTCTACATAAAATTCAGAATGAAATTTTCTCTCCTATTTTCACGCCAAGAAGTGGTGTTATCCTCATTTAGTAAAGGAAGAATTTTAGGCTTCTATAGGCTAAGTAACTTCTTAAACATAACTACTAACAGAGAAGGGCACTATTCTAATAAATATCTCATTTCCTCAACACTAAACTTCAAATACTGCTCTGAGGATAAACTCTGAAAACACATGCATTTTTATCTAACACCCATTTGCTACATATGACAATATCCTTTGCATGGCTCTGGGCATTAAACATACATAAACATTAACTGCATACCACATGGAGAAATGTCTAGTCCACACGCCAACCCAGATACTGGGAAGCACAGACCCTGAGAGCACATAGATCTACTACCACATTCCCTGAAAGCTTTAACCTTCCAATATGTTAACCTATGACCTGCCAGGATATAGAATACACATTTGAATGTCCTAAAATAAAAATATTCACCCCTTGTTAGTATTTATCCATATAAAACATAGTTGGGAAAACTGAGGCATGCCCATGAGATAGTGCACTAAGGTTCAGAAGATCTGAGATTAGTCCCAACATCTAAACAGGAAATCTCAAGGGTCCCCTCTCCCCTCAGAGTCAGCAGTGCTGGCTGTGATTTCCATTCTGCTTTCTCTGCCTACAGAGATCCCAGGACAAACTCTCTAGAGAGGTCATCACACCTCAACTCCCTCAGGCTAACAAGCACCCCAGAGGCCAGTAGAGCAGACCCCAGACTCGTGAGAAGCTGGCTGGGTTTCCTCAGTCAGGGGGGTCCTCCCACTGGAGTCAGAGCATCTCTGCCTTCTGAGATCTGGAGCTGGCAGAAGCAGCAGTGAGCTAGAGACCAGATGTTAGGAAAGTGGCGGTTGTGGTCAGGGAAGGGAAACCTGTTATCACTTTGGTTTAGAAGCTCCTCTTCCATCCCTGCTTCTCTCCTTGTCAATCAGTCCAGAAGTACATGGGAGACACATGCCAAAGCTGAACTTTGGCTGAGAAGCAGAGTTGACTTGATTAACAGATGTGGTGCACATCATCTTCTGGAGTGGCTGGGAAGGAAAGAAAAGCATCTCGACATGGAGATGGAGCTTCAGGAGCTAGCCATTCAGTTGGCTACTCCAACCCAGTTTGGTACCTTACTCTTTTCTCCCTGATACTTTCAAATATTTCACAAATTGAGAAGTCATAGGTCCATGGAAATAAAACTTCCTTTTGGAATTTGGTTTTAAGTCCAGCCAGTTGGACTGCTAGGCCATATATACCATTTGTTTTTATGTAAACAAAACCACACAAGTAGAAAAAAAAAATAGAGAGAGAAAAAAAGATTGCAGTCTTGGACTGATCCACTCACCCTCTGCTTTTAGAGTGTTCTTCCTGATTCTCCCATCAGAAATCCTCCTACTGCTTCTAGTCATCAACCTTGGTGTTCCTCACTTCTCTGAGCTAGAGAATCAATTCCATTAATTCACCAAATCTCCGCTAATTTTTGTATCACACATTCCCCAGGCAGCCCTTTCACAAATGACTCACTTTTGAATATTGATCTGTGTGTGATGTACTGCTTTACAGATATGGTGTCTCCCTTGTTATTCATAAAACATTAGGAACCAGCTTGTGAGCAGGTGATGCAGGATAAATCAAACCCCTCACTTTTTGTCTTCAGCAGAGGGCAGTGTCACTGCACGACACCAGCTCCCCTCACCAGGCATGCCACAGCCATACATGGCCAATATTTCCACCCGATTTGGCCTGTTAATCATGGATACACAAATTTTCAAATTCCACCATCTCTACAACACAGAAAGATAGGCCACCTCTCTAGCAAATAAAAAGATAAATTCTGAATATGGGAGAAGAAAGTGTGTCAGAGAGTATAAGGGCAATTCTAGTAGGAAATTTTTAGAACAATAAAACCAGTGCCTTTGTTGATGGTGATAGACGATTAACATACCATAACTAGAGGAGGGGAAGCTTAACACCAGAGAGCATCAACTCAGAGTGAGCCAGCTTGGAGCTCCAATCCTGACTGCTTCCCACGTCCTTAGTGAACTTCAACAAACCACTTCACCTCTGTAAGCCTTAGTCTCCTGAAAGGTTTCATAATTCCTTGGGATTTAGTGGCATGTTTAGCATAAGCTTGGTACATAATACTTGCTCTTAAGTATTGGTTATTGTTATTAGCTTTAATTATGATTCATCCAATTACTCGAGGCATAAACAAATATTCTTTCCATAAAAACCTGCCAAATCCTGAAATTAGCCAGACAATTTGGCAGTGAGGGATGTGATATTTTACATACATAAATTAACTGATTTTGAGAACATCAGGAAATAGAAGATAAAGGGAGGTGACACAGGGACTGATGAGGATCAACAGTTTCTCCTTCATGCTGACAATATGCTTTTCTCTCTTCTAAGTGTTTTCATGCATTATCTCTCCAAATCTTCATGAGAATGTGAATATGTGTGTCCTATATTACACGTGAAGTACTTGTGGCTTAAAGATGTTTAATAACAAATAAAAATATGAACAGTTAATTGTAAATGAAGGAATATATTAATTTAACAATGTTAAATAAATTAACATATCAATCAATAAATTAATATATCATATATGACTTCAAGGCCTTCCCAGGTTGTGCTAGTGGTAAAGGATCTGCCTGCCAGTGTAGGAGTTGTAGGAGATAAGCATTCAATCCCTGGGATGATCGCCCAGAGAAGGGAATGGCACCTCACCCCAGTATTCTTGCCTGGGAAATTCCATGGGCAAAGGAGTTTGGCAGGCGATAGTCCTTGGGACCTCAATGAGTTGGACATGAGTGAACGACTGAGCACACACACACGTAAGGCTTGATGTCCTGGGTATGACTGGAAGACACATATTTATATGTTTCTCATAGGTTTCTTTGAATAAATATATGAGAGAAGAAATTTTAAAACATGAATTGTATAGTTAACAATGGATGCCCTGCTGTACAAAAGTGGTATAGGACAGGGGATTAATGAAGTGACGATGATTTATGAAAAAGGGGAGATTTGCACAGATTGATGATAGCATGCCATGAGTTAAGGAGGGCTTAACCTTTCAAAGGTTAAGAAGCTTTTCATTCTGTGTACAAACAAGGAAAAAACACTGTTGAATTGGATTCAATATTCCTCTCAGATATTCACTGTTGATTATTTTGGCAAATGCTTATTTCTATTGAAGACATGCAAAGTCTAGTTTTATAACAACTGAATTTGCTTTGGTAAAGAATAGGGGTCCTGTGACTTCAATATCTAAATTACTCCCCACCTCCAATGATCTCTATCTGCTTATACTAATAATACTCTATTTTTAAACAAATGTATGGCTCAGTTCAGTTCAGTTCAGTTGCTCAGTCATGTCCAGCTCTTTGTGACCCTATGGACTGCAGCACGCCAGGCTTCCCTGTCCATCTCCAACACCCAGAGCTTGCTCAAATTCATCTCCATCCAGTCAGTGATGCTATCCAACCTTCTAATCCTCTGTTGTCCCCTTCTCCTCCTGCCTTTAGTCTTTCCAAGCATCAGGGTCTTTTCCAATGAGTCAGTTCTTCACATCAGGTGGCCAAAGTATTGGAGTTTCATCTTCAGCATCAGTCCTTCCAATGAACATTCAGGACTGATTTCCTTTAGGATGGACTGGTTTGATCTTCTTGCAGTCCAAGGGACTCTCAAGAGTCTTCTCAACACCACAATTCAAAAACATCAATTCTTTGGTGTTCCGCTTTCTTTAAGGTCCAACTCTCACATCCATACATGATTACTGGAAAAAAGATACCTTTGACTAGATGGACCTAGTAAAGTAATGTCTCAGCTTTTTAATATGCTGTCTAGATTGGTCATAGCTTTTCTTCCAAGGAGCAAGCATCTTTTCATTTCATGGCTGCAACCACCATCTGCAGTGATTTTGGAAGCCAAGAAAATTAAGTCTGTCACTGTTTCCATTGTTTCCCAATCTATGTTCCATGAAGTGATGGGACTGGATACCATGATCTTAATTCTTTGAATGTTGAGTTTTAAGTCAGCTTTTTCACTCTCCTGTTTCAATTTCATCAAGAGGCCCTTTAGTTTCTCTTCACTTTCTACCATGAAGGCTGTATCATCTGTGTATCTGAGGTTATTGCTATTTCTCCCAACAATCTTGATTCCAGCTTATGCTTCATCCAGCCTGGCATTTGCATGATGTACTTTTAATATAAGTTAAATAATCAGGGTGACAATATGCATCCTTGATATATTCCGTACCGCTACATGTATGTGTCACTACCTGATATTATATTACATATACTGTTTGTGATCATCAAATTATCACCCAAGCTACATGAATTACACAAAGGAAAGAATTTCTGTTTTATTGCTGTATTCCCAGCAGGGACACAGATTTCACAGACTAGGAACTAAGGAACTTGAATCAAGCGGTCCAGCTGTGACGGATTCTAAAGGAAAACACTTCTGTTCCTTCAAGTTTCAGCATAAGGCCCTTATGATGACATGGGTTTGGGAAGGGAGGACCACATCAAGGGACCATGAGGGTAACAAGCTTTCCCAGCACAGCTGCCAATAGTGCCCAAATAGAGGACAACAAAGACTTGCTGGGTTCTTGTAATTTGGGCTGTGGAATTGGAGCATGATAAATACCAAATCTTCTAGTACATAACTAGACCAAAGTCAATGGAAAGACTCAACCAAACCAGCAGTGTCTCTGAGTTCATCCTCCTGGGACTTTCCTCGTGGCCAGAGGACCAGAAGCCACTCTTCATCCTCTTTCTCATCATGTACCTGGTCACCATAACAGGGAATGTGCTCATCATCCTGGCCATCCACTCTGACCCCCAACTGCACACCCCCATGTATTTCTTCTTGAGTGTCCTGTCTTTCATTGACACTTGCTTCTCAACAACCATTGTCCCCAGGATGCTGGTGAACTTCCTGTCAGAGAAGAAGACCATCTCCTATGCTGGATGTCTGACCCAGATGTATTTTTTCTATGCCTTTGGCAACACTGATAGTTTTCTTTTGGCAGCCATGGCCTATGACCGCTATGTGGCCAACTGTGATCCCTTTCACTATGTCATCATCATGAGCCGCCACACCTGTGTCCTGCTGGTGGCCATCTCCTGCTCATTGCCTCACTTTCACTCACTCCTACACATACTTCTGCTGAATCAGCTCACCTTCTGCAACTCCAATGTTGTCCACCACTTCCTCTGTGACATCAACCCTCTGCTGAAATTGTCCTGCTCTTCCGTATTTGTCAATGATCTTACAATAAAGACAGAAGGACTGGTGTTTTGGGTGACCCCTTCCTATGCATTGTTTTGTAGTACATGCGAATCCTCACAGCAGTTCTCAGGATCCCCTCTGCTGCAGGGAAATGCAAAGCCTTCTCCACCTGTGGCTCCCACTTCACTGTGGTGATCCTGTTTTATGGAGGCATCTTCTATGTCTATTTACAGCCCTTGTCCAGCTACACTGTTCGGGACCGAGTGGCTACACTTGTCTACACAGTTTTGTCCTCCATGCTCAACCCTTTCATTTACAGTCTGAGAAACAAAGACATGAAAAGGGGCCTGAGGAAGCTGATGGGCTGGAGGAAATCCTAGCCAGAAGGAGGAAATCCTAGTCTTTTGGGGATATGTTCATGGGTTTCTTTGAGGCTTAGATCCTGTTTCTGCTGGTTTCTGATACACATAATAATTTCTTGTAGGTCAGTAGATATGACTCATTTGTGTCATGGATGTTGGGTTGTACCCACTTCTTTACACATGCAACTACCAACCATGGAGACTTTATGATGATTCAATAATAGGCTCCAGGTCTACCAAAATCTTGGCTCCCAGTTTTCACATATCTGCAACTCTCTTCCTGTCTTCCTCTTCTCTAGGAAACCACATCATTTTCACTGCTCCAAATGGCTGTTGAGACCTTTGTTTCCCATAAAATTTCCTAGAACTTAACATACATCTGTTCAATAACTTTTTATTCTCTTCATATAATTTGAGTTTAAATGTAACTTCTGTAATGAATTAGCTTTTTTAAAATATTTGCAATGATTTATATAAAGAAGACAGAGACAGTGACAAGAGAGAGACTCTTAAAAAACTGAAACTTCCACCAAGCGAGGAGTGTGTCTAGTGCAACAGTTATACAGAGATTGTGCCGCTTCCTTCTTCCATATTTTTGACAGCAGAATGTTCTGGACTCTGTAGTGAACAAAAGCCCAACTCTTAGCCCTGTTTAACTAAGTGACCTAGTAGTTCAGCACTCAACTGCTCTGATAATCAGCCCAGGGTGCATGAAGCTCTGTTGCCTCTGGCTCTCTACACTGGTTATCTGGTATTTGTGCCTCAAGGCACTGGTCTTGTCCCCTGTCTTAGCTTCAGTTCTCATTAGAGTTTCCTCTATTGCCACCATCATAACCAACCAGATAGGTCTGCTTCCCAGGGAAAGAGTTGTTGTATGTTCTTATAATTAATTATTCTAATGAGAGTATTAAAACCCACAGTTCAGTTCAGTTCAGTCACTCAGTCGTGTCCGAGTCTTTGCAAGTCCATGAACCGCAGCACACCAGGCCTCCCTGCCCATCACCATCTCCCAGAGTTTGAACATTCTTTGGCATTGCCTTTCTTGGGAATTGAAATGAAAACTGACCTTTTCCAGTCCTGTGGCCACTGCTGAGTTTTCCAAAACCCACATGTGAATGTTAAATGCAGATAAAATTAGGAGCTTCTAGAACCAGACAGAGACATGCAGGGGTGCTCTGGGAAGTAGAGTCATCTAGGCAAGGACTTTATTCTGTTCACTTTTGTTTCTTCATTTATTCTCTATTATTACTGTAATAATTGAATAATTTTAAAATAAGGATTTTTAAAATAATTTAAAATTTAAAATTATTTTTGGTTTTTTTTTTTCATTTATTTTTATTAGTTGGAGGCTAATTACTTTACATCATTGCAGTGGTTTTTGTCATACATTGAAATGAATTAGCCATGGATTTACATGTATTCCCCATCCCGGTCCCCCCCTTCCACCTCCCTCTCCACCCGATCCCTCTGGGTCTTCCCAGTGTACCAAGCCCGAGCACTTGTCTCATGCACCCAACCTGGGCTGGTGATCTGTTTCACCCTAGATAATATACATGTTTTGATGCTGTTCTCTTGAAACATCCCACCCTCGCCTTCTCCCAGAGTCCACAAGTCTGTTCTATACATCTGAGTCTATTTTTCTGTTTTGCATATAGGGTTATCATTACCATCTTTCTAAATTCCATATATGTGTGTTAGTATACTGTAATGGTCTTTATCTTTCTGGCTTACTTCGCTCTGTATAATGGGCTCCAGTTTCATCCATCTCATTAGAACTGATTTAAATGAATTCTTTTTAATGGCTGAGTAATATTCCATGGTGTATATGTACCACAGCTTCCTCATCCATTCGTCTGCTGATGGGCATCTAGGTTGCTTCATTTAAATTTAAAAAATAACATGATTTTAAGCTTTATTTTATATCTGAATATTTTATCATTTATTATTCTTTTACATTCTTCGTGGAGCTATCATTCAGTAGGTCTCATGTGGGCCTGTGCATCTGCATTTTAAGGAGCACCTCCTAGAGTAACTAATCGGGTTTTATGTGGGAAGCTTCATGATTGAAAATTTCTGACCACTCCATATATCCCATTGTTTGTATTCTGGACGCATGCCTTCAGTAATGCTATATCAAGTGTATAATCTACATGTATACAGACACTCACTGATTGCAGCATTTTTCATAATAGACAAAGTCAGAAAAATTAGAAATAATCTAAATGCCCATCAATAGAGAAATAGATAAATAAGGTTCAATTTTTCCATAGAGAGAAATAACCAGTAATAGGTATAAATAACGAGGTATATCTCTAGCACTACCTGAAAGCCATTATGAATATAGACCAAAATGCATATAAGTAAATTTGTTAGGGTTTTTAAAAAAAAGCCTGTGTGTGTGAGACAGAGTGAGAGAGAGTATGCATTTTTGTGTATCTGGTGAGATTACATACACAGTAAGAAAACATACACCCTCAGACACACACACACACACACACACACACACACACACACACGTATACACACTCTTATACAACAGACTAGAAGTTTGTGCATATTTGTAAGATCAGAATTTGTTGAACAGGGATGTTTGTTGTTGTATCTTTTTTATAAATAAAACACCAATCGCTAAGAAAAGTATAGTAAAATATTTTGTTCTGCTGATCATCATTGAATTTTCTTTTGTTTAAACAGCAATAATATTATGTTATGATAGGAAACAGGGGATACAAAGGAGATCAGATCACCAGTGAGACCCTCCAATGAATGCCCTGATTCTGATTGTGGAGAAGAACTAGATAAAGAGGAAACAGCCTGTGCCTGAAGCAACCCCATTTCTACACAACTTAGGGTTTTTGCCAGTAACACTTTGGGTTTGGAAGAGAAAATCCTGGTCTTTACACTTTTCACTAAGACTGGGCATGGCCATGGAGCTGTGGCCATGTCCCTTGAGTCGATTTGAGCAAGGTCCAAGAATTTGGACTTGATCTGGTACACAGAGTGCCTGAAGAACTATGGATGGAGGTTGGTAACATTGTACAGGAGGTGGAGGCCAAAACCATCCCCCCATAAAAAAGAAATTCAAGAAGGCAAAGTGGTTGTCTGAGGAGGCGTTAAAAATAGCTAAGAAAGAAGGGAAGTGAAAAGTAAAGGAGAAAGGGAAAGATACACCCAAGAGAGTGCAGACTTCCAAGGAACAGCTATGAGAGACAGGGAAAAAAAGGGAAAAGAATCAAATCAACAAAATTAGAAATGAAAATGGAGAAATCACCACAGACAACACAGAAATACAAAGGATCATAAGAGACTACTATCAGCAACTGTATGCCAAAAAAATGGACAACTTGGAAGAAGTGGACAAATTATTAGAAAAGTATAACTTTCCAAAATGGAACCAGGAAGAAATAGAAAATCTGAATAGACCCATCACAAGCACAGAAATTGAAACTGTAATCAGAAACGTTCCAACAAACAAAAGCCCAGGACCAGATGGCTTCACAGCTGAATTCTACCAAAAATTTAGGGAAGAGCTAACACCTATCCTACTCATACTCTTCCAGAAAATTGCTGCGGAAGGTTACCTTCCAAACTCACACTATGAGGCCACCATCGCCCTAACACCAAAACCAGACAAAGATACCACAAAAAAAGAAAACTACAGGCCAATATTACTGATGAACATAGATGCAAAAATCCTTAACAAAATTCTAGCAAACAGAATCCAACAACATTTTTAAAAGATCATACATCATGACATACATCTGGGCTTTATCCCAGAGATGCAAGGATTCTTCAGTATTTGCCAATCAATCAATGTGATACACCATATTAACAAATTGAAAGATAAAAACCATATGATTGTCTCAGTAGATGAAGAGAAAGCCTTTGACAAAATTCAACATCCATTTATGAAAAAAACCCCTCCAGAAGACAGGCATAGAAGGAACATACCTCAACATGATACAAGTCATATATGATAAACTCACAGCAAACATTGTCCTCAAAGGTGAAAAATTGAAAGCATTTCCCCTAAAGTCAGGAACAAGACAAGGATGCCCACTCTCACCATTACTATTCAAAATAGTTTTGGAAGTTTTAGCCACAGCTTTCAGAGAAGAAAAAGAAATAAAAGGAAACCAGATTGGAAAAGAAGTAAAACACTCACTGTTTGCAGATGACATGATCCTCTACATAGAAAACCCTAAAAACTCCACCAGAAAATTACTAGAGCTAGTCAATGAATATAGTACAGTTGCAGGATATAAAATAACACATAGAAATCTCTCACATTCCTATACACTAACAATGAGAAAAATTAAGGAAACAATTACATTCACCATTGCCACAAAAAGAATAAAATACTTAGGAATAAATCTATGAAAAGAAACAAAGACTTATATACAGAAAACTATAAAACACTGATTAAAGAAATCAAAGAGGACACAAATAGATAGAGAAATATACCATGTTCACAGATTAGAAGACTCAATATAGTGAAAATGGGTATACCACCTAAAACAATCTATAGATTCAATGCAATCCTTATCAAGCTACCAACGGTAGTTTTCAGAGAACTAAAACAAATAATCTCACAATTTGTATGGAAATACAAAAAACCTTGAATAGCCAAAACAACATTGAGAAAGAAGAATGGAACTGGAGGAATCAACCTGCCTGAATTCAGACTGTACTACAAAGCAACAGTCATCAAGACAGTATGGTACTGGCCCAAAGACAGAAACATAGATCAATGGAACAAAATAGAAAGCCCAGAGATAAATCCACACACCTATCGACTCCTTATCATTGACAAAGGAAGTGAGAATAGACAATGGAGAAAAGACAATCTCTTTCACAAGTGGTGCTGGGAAAACTGGTCAACCACTTGTAAGAGAATAAAACTAGAACACGTTCTGACACCATACACAAAAATAAACTCAAAATGGATTGAAGATCTAAATGTAAGACCAGAAACTATAAAACTCCTAGAGGAAACCATAGGCAAAACACTCTCTGAC